CACCTGGACTTTCAACTTCTGGCCTCTTTCTGTTGCTTTATGCCACCAAGTTTATGACCACTGGCTACAGTGGTCCTCGGAAACTAACATTAGCGCCAAATGGGATGTTGTGTCTCAAGTATTTAGACCTGTTCCTGGTCATATCTTTATTAAGTATTACTAAAACAGGGAATCAGTGGTAGTTAGAGTGAGACTCTGTGTCCAATGACACATCGGGGTCAGGGAGAGCTTCACATCTGAAGTGCCATTTAGGCTGAATGGTAAAGGTCAGGTGATTTCCAGAAGAGGAAAGGAGTTAGCACTGAAAGCACACTCAGGGCAAGTTGTGTGGAAAGGAACTGATATTTTCAGGGAGTGATGAACAGGATGCTTCCAGGCATTTTAAGAACTCTACAATTGAGTGCTATCCCCATCCCGCACAGGTTTATGGGAATGTTTTGACCAACACTTCCTCTCCTATTTCCTACCTGTTCTGCACCTGAGGCTGACAGCAGAGAGGGAAGTGGGACAGAGCAATGTGACACCTTATACTTCCCTCTGACAACTGGGCCTGATCATAGCTCTTTTCATAGCTCTGCTGACGTAATGTGATGGCTGGGGTTGAAGTCTCCCTTCCAAAGGGCTGCAAGAAATCACCAGCAAAAGTTCAGTTGATATGGAGCAGAATCCTCCATTGTACCTTTGCTTTGGGACCTTTTCACTGAGGAGGCTCAGTTACTTAAGGAACACAAGCTAAGTGAACTTGACTTTCAGCTGGCTATCACTGTACAGCAGCTAGACACTGCTTTCCATGGAAATAACAAAAAAACTTGAATAATAATAGCTTAAATCAATTATCTTTCCTTCTTCCAACCTTACCTCAGAAAAAGAAATTCAGGGTGACTGAACGTAGGCTTCCATAACACATCCACAAGTGTGCTTAGGGACCCATCCTCCTTCAACTTTCTGATCGACCAGTGTAATGTATATCTAAAAGTCTGGTACTATCACACTCTTCTGGTCTCATGGTTGAAAGGTGGCTGCTCTATATTCCAAAAGAAATTCTAGAAAGAAGAAAGAGAGAAGACAGTAATGTGAAGGAAGAAGCATAATCTATAACTGGAAAGGAAAAAATTTTCAGCAAATTTCAATAGACTTCCATTTATATTTCAATGGCCAGAATTGGAACACATGGTACTTCTAGAGAAAAAGAACCCGTAAAATGTGTTTTTAAAAGCTAGCTATATCACCACTCCAATTAAAATTAGGCTTCAACTTAATTTCCTAATTTATAAGAAAAATAGGAGTGATAGATATTGGGTGGGGCAACCAACAACCTCACATTCATTTGACAAATACATTCTTTGTAAAATGAATCTGATTGTGTCAATCTCTTGCTTAAAATTGTTTATTGGGTTCACAGTTCTTATAGACATTTCCATGTCTTTATATTGAAACTCTTTGGTGTGGTTTTCAAGACCCTCGTGAATTCTGAGCAAACTTCCTTGATGGACACTCAACATCACCTGCCACTATTTAGGATACCAGGCTCCTAAAATTTTAAACTCTGGTTCTATGCATGTGCCTTCCTCTGTCTGGTAGATTCCCTCTCCATCCTTTTTCTCCCTGGCATACCCCACACCAATTGCTTAAGACTTTGTTCAATGATTCACCTTCTCCAGTGTCATACATTCTTAATCCTTGAGGCATTCAGTCCTTCCCGCCTCATATTTCTAAACCATCTTATTATATTGCCTTGTAAATTGCTTGTGCGAACTCAAAATGAAGTCAACATAGGCAATTTATCATTGATGGATCCCATCAGCTTTGGCACCATAGCTTCCAGTCAGGTCCAGAGCCAGATAAATCTGTTTAAGTATTCTTCCTCTTCTGATTAAGTAGAATTTTGGTAAGATTCAACACTATTTTAGAGATAGCTAAACCTGAAAGTCTGGCCTCTCAGTTGTGAACAAATTGACTATGTTGAAATATGCAGGAATTTAAAAAGCAAGAAATGCAAGCAAGATGTATGGTTGATATTGTAATATTTATTCTACAAATAAAGAGATCAAGGTACAAAGGGGGCTTAAGTGACTTAGCTGAGATGGGATGCTAAATGGGTCAGCTGGGAGTTGAGTCCAAGTGGTCTTAGAACCTACAGTCATGACCTTGCTATATATTCTCCCTCTCTGTTCCTTTTTGTATGTCCAAGAGTATCATTGTTATTCCATCCATGGCTGGTGCTGTGAAGATTAATAATGCCCTTTTGGAAGCTAATTATACCTCAGGATTTATTTTAGTGAAATTATCCAAAATCAAGGTAGGCAGGGAATCCACAGGCAAGATTTGACTACATCATTTTGCAATATTGCAAAAATTAAAAAAAATCTGAATATTCAATAACACTCAGGAGTATATTTATGTATTTCCAGTCAACATGTAATGTAGCTCTGAACAGTTTTTAGTTATGAAGACTCTATAGTAACATGGAAATTATTCATACTATTAAGCAAAAAGGAACATGTTGCAAAACTGATGACCATTAGAGCCATATGAACATTGCCAAGGAATGAAAATGGTAGAGAATATTCCTGGATGCTAGTGTGGGAGGCATTAGTGACTTTATTTTGATGTCTCCTTTAAAACTTTACATTAATAATCATAATTAAAAAATAAATTTTCGAGTGCTTCATTGACTCTTAAAACTCTATCTTTTGGTTCCTTTTTGCAAAGGAAGAGAGAGGTATATTTTATTATATCGCTTATTCCTGAGAGCTGGGGCCAACACTGGGGAGCTAGTGGATAAGTAAGGACAGATATAAGAGAAGAACATATCACACAGTAATTTTTGTTAAGCTTAAGGCTTGAAGGCATACTCACTATGTCTGAGTAGCCAGTTTCTTATATGCCTACCTACATCAATGACATTCCCTTACCTGGATGGAAAAACCAGTCACTCTTCAAGATCATGCTTCCATCAGCACAGTGCATTCAAAGCTTCCAGCAAGCCCAGCATCTTAATTGGTAGATTTAATGATCTAAGTATTGCATCTCTATCCTATTTGTAAATTGTCAAAAGACATGTGTCATCTGTCTGTCTTGTTCTCTAGAACCAAATATATGCTCAAAAATACCAGCTAAGTGCATTGGCAATGGGACCAGCATCCTGCACTTTGCAAAGAACAGAGTTTCTATTTCTTCTACTGTCCCTGAAGGAATATTTTGCTATTTTGGACTGTGGTGGATGCTTTTGGTTCACATTTTCTTCCTAGGTGCTCCGATATACTAGACCACGTGCTTCCCAGCTGTCTTGTGGGTAGGTGCTCCAAGACAAGAACACAATAATACATGGACATAGAGGAGCAAAGCTGCTTAGTTCATGGTGGCCAGGAAACAGAGCATGGGAACTGTCAGGAAGGGGCTAAGGACCAGATATAGGTCCCAAGGCCACACTCCCATGACTTACCCGAACACATCCAGAAATGTTCTTGTCTTGGAGCCAGCCAACCATAAATTGAAACCTCCAAATTAAGCCTCTCCTCTTTTATGTTGTGGGAGTTGGGTATTTTGTACTAGCAATGGGAAAGCTAAGATACAGTCCCAGCAAAGGCTGAACATTGGAGAAAAAGTTAGCAAGAAAAATGTGATTCCAACTGATTGATCCTTTTTTTTTCCTGCCTTGCCTACTAGTCAAGCTCAGAACCAAACATGTGGCTTATGAACAGCTCATGGAAGGTGTTTTAGTCAACTCACAACTATCATCACTTTATTACTCAATACTCTTTTTCCTTTTGGGTCCCGATTTACCTAATTTTATTTACTTTATAGTCTTGTGAGTCTCTTAACACTGTCAGTTTCTAACTTCCTTTTGGTGAAGGGAATCCACAAGATGAGGAAAGGTGAGAACCATGTTTTTAGAATAAACTCTGGACAAATTATCTTGAGCTTTCCTCGCAACATTGGTAGACACAGACAGTATAAATCAGCTGAGTTTAACAATTGAAGCTAGTGATTTTTAACTGTCTTCTCTGTTCCACGACTACTAATTTTTTCTTTGATTTATAACAAGGTAGCTCAAAATATAAGTGAATGGTGTCAGTTTGGTGCAGGATGCACAGTAAGAGTAGTCTGTGGCTCAGACTTTCATGAGGTAAGGCTAACAACATGGACATGGTCTGTCAGTGGCTGTGACTTGGAGTTAGTTTAAAGGGACTATGCTCACAGCCTCGTTTCCGGATGACATTTAAGCACTGGCTCTTCCCCCTGAAACTTCATGTATCACTTTCACATTTTTGATGGAAGACATTCCCTCCATAAAATTCTCCCAGTTGATGATGAATATCTGATGTAGAACTACTGTATTAACCGTGTAAAATCCTAGCTCACACCTCACTTTTAATTTTACCTTTGCTTTCCACACCTGTGTGGACTCAGTGGCTTGAAATCTCTTATGCACATGCATTGAAAGGTAGTGCTATATCATTCCCACATTTTCTCTCTGTAGTCACATCCATAAATGATTTACAACAGATGCACATAGACACATGTGAAAAAATTCTTTATTAATTTCTCACATTTCATTACAAAATGTATGTTGCAAACAACTTGAATAACCTACTTGTGGGTTTTATTTATTTTTTGTTTTGTTTTTAAACCCTTGGCTTCAAAGACTCAGGATCTCCCCATCTTTTATCAAGTATTGAGAAATACTGATTATTGGAGTCAATAGGTTATTGTTTTGCTATTTATTTTCTTCTCTCAAGCTCTGAAAAAAATGTCCTCTGTATAAATTAAACAACAACAAAAAATGTTGTAAATTCTATGTCATTACAGTCAACAGAATTATAATAATGCATCCAAAATGTGCAGCCACAAAATATCAGGTATATGTTTGAAAAAGAAAAAAAATGACATTCTAGCCTTGTTAAAAGGATAATGGTCCCATATTTTTATTAACAGGTTAGCAAAACAAAATCCAATGGATTACAATATTTACATGTTATTTGAAAAATAATGCAGTGATAAAAGCATGTCACAATTATTTTCTTTTTTCCTTTTTCTTCCTTTTTTTTTTTTTTTTGTTTGTTTTTTGGTAACCATTACAAACACCCAATCCAGGTATGGAACTGTTTAATACATTTGAAATGAGGCCAATTAAAAACAAATATGGACACAAAATTAATCTTTGTCTAGATAATTCACACTTTCCCCATTTTCTGGTTTCCACATGATGGCCCCCATCCCTAGAAAAAAATTAAATTAAATGTTCTACAAATAAAAATTCTTAACTGCAAAAAAAATAAAAGAACAACATGCTTTTCAAGTAAGCACTTACTCCACAAATGCAACATCTTTCCATGGATTTTATTTGAAGCTGTGTGGGACACTGTCATCTCAGCAATCCCCCTTCCCTTTCTACCCTCCCCCCTCCCCCAACCCTTCCAAGTTAAAAAACAAAACAAAACAAAACAAAACATGAAAACCAAAGGACTCACACTCACAAACGTGCGCACAGACACATGCACACACTCACACATCCAAGCACACACGCAGTCAGGCTTCTAAAACCTAGGCTTCAAGAAAAGTTCTTCTCTACTTTTTGGAATGAAACCCTTTGTTCACAATCAGAACATATTATAAACGTAGACTTAGATGTAGTCTAAGCTGCTCCCTCCAGAAAAAACTAATACAGGGAAACAGAGCAGCTGGCAGCTAGATTAAAAAACAAACAAAACAAAACAAAAAAAACCAAAGGTAGTTCTCCAGGCTCCTTGTAGGATATATGTCATTTGTTTTCCACTCTCGACAAAGGGATGGGATTCTAGCATATCCCCTCATCCCCTTAAAATAAATGAGAACCCCCTGTAAAACACAATGCAAACAAAAACACAGATTTTAAATCACACACAAAAGCCAGCCCATCCTAACAGAACTTATTGATGTGAGACGGATAATGTGTTAATTTGACAAGTAACAAAAGGGTGAAGAGGACCTCTTCGTCTGGCCCACAAGCTGCATAGCTGTGCCGAAAGTTTGGTTCTTTAGTTAAATAAAAAATTAAAAACAAAACAAAACAAAAAAACCCGAAACAAATAAAAACAAAGTTAACCTCTTTGTTATTTCCACGTTTAAAATAAAAACATTCCTATTCACAAAAAACTAAATCTCCCTTGCCCCCAAATCAAAACAATAACAACACACACACAAAAAACAATTTATATGAAAAATTGAATTGTGCTGTGTTTGTAACACTCAAATCGATAGAAAATAAACATGTGGCAAACAAAACTCCACAATCTTAAAATTAGCTCACATGAATCTACCAAATTCTAAATTATAGTTGAACACTAATAAACAGCTTACCTGGAATAAAGGATGATAATTCACAAACAGTTGTCTAATAATTAAAGTCTGTTTCTTTTTTTTGTTTTGTTTTTTACTAAAATAATTAAAAAAATCACAGTATTTTAAGAAATAAAACCCACATGGGGATTTTAAGCACAATTTGTGTTCCTTTCTTTAAAACTCTTTTTTTTCTCCATTCACCATCTTGCCCAGCAGTTCTCTCTACATTTAACCACAAGGGCGACAGGTAGTACTGACAAATGCAGAGAATTCCCTTGGTTAAGTTTGAGGTACTAGGAAACAGGTGACTGTTTTATGCAAAGCAGTTTTTTGTTTGTTTTCTGTTTTTGTTTTATTTATTTATTTTTTTCCCAAAGCGGCTGCAGTTAGGTCTTGAAAAAGCTTAAGGTATTAAAACTAGAAAAACGCACTAAAAGGTGTGCGTCCAAAAGTTGTTCCCCTATGAGAAGTCTTCTACTGTCCCGGAGCTTCTGTTTCAACACACTGTCCAAGACCGCCATGGAGTGCACCATGCCCATGGAAGGCGCTTCCATATCCACAACAAAGGAAACGTCCATGGTGAAGATCCAGAAGGAAAGATGTAGTGATGGAAAAGGAGCCACATATTCCAACCATTTAAATAACTTTAATTTACATACTCACTCACACAGGTACCAGTGCTTTGAAAATAGATTGTTCAGTCCTAAAAAGCAGCTTTGTTCTGTCTTCTCTTTACTGTCCCTCCCTTCTCAGCCCATGCTGGCCCTCCCACTTTTCATCATGGTTCAAGTATGGTTTGATTAAGAATTTCACCAAACTTTTATTCTTTTTTGGCCTCTGCATTCTCCAGGAGAGATTTGTCGGCAGCTACTACACAGATGGCTACTGTTTCATTTTTTAGGGAAAAGTCTATCCCAATTGGCTCATCGTCTTCCTTTTCCTCTATGGAGGGCATTGTGATACTGTCCTCCACCATCTCTTTTGGGTGGATCTCTTCTCTGATCACTTGCTTGGTGTCATTCAATGACCTGCAATAAGCATTTATGGAAGGGACAAATGAGTATATAGGCTTTTATTAGCTGAACAAAAAACGCTGTCCTTATTTCCTTGATCCTAAATAGCTTTTGGGGGTTTCCTTTGAAAAACCACTATGGATGTTGGATTAAATTGCCAGTGATGTACCCCTGCTGTCCGTGTAGGTCATGTATTTCTGTGGATTTTAAAAGATTTGAACAACAACAAAAAATCCATTATTATACCGTTTTGATTACACCATGTTTTTTTTTCCAGACTAACATAATGGTTTCTACTGTGTCACGAGGGGTAAATTAGGAAAACTGTGTCATGTTCAAATTCATCAGCTTAGCCCAGAAGCTTGGAGATCAGCTATATTTATTAAGATGAAAAGAGCAACTCAGGTACTAAAGATTTATTGGGTAGATACAGAAATAAATCCTAGAAATAAACAAAAAGCAAAAACTTGAGGATAAAATCTATATCTTGAGAAACTTAGTTATATTCTTCGAAGCCTAGACAATTGAAGTTTTGGAAAATTTTCTCCAGAAAGGACTGAACCCAAGCTTCTCTCGGGGTCTGGTGGACTAAGGGTGTCTTGGCGAGGGAACAGTTTTATGTTCAAGGATCTGAAAAGTATCTGACAGGTGTGCTGTCACCTATTTGGGACACCGGCAGAAGCTGTCTCTGTCCTGAGACAGGGCACAGGGATAGTCAAGGCCACTCAGGGAATGGTCTAGCACAGAGGCAGGAATAGAGGCCACACATTTAGCCCCTGATACATGCTCTCTAGTAGAATGTCATGCTCATAAAAACTAAAGAGGCAATGGCTAGAGGAAACACTACTTGTGCATGTGGACTGGTGAGGGATTTGTCATCCATAATGGTTTCCCTCATCTGGGTGACTCTTTAAAAACCAACAAAGAGACCTGATCCCTTCTTCATGGCTGAGGGGAACCAAACAAGAATCTCGACCTTCCTTTTCCCCTCTCATTTTGGATGAAGGTGTTCTCGGGATGGCCCGACTTACATGCCATGTCTCAGCACGTGCCTTTCCCACTCAGAGCCCTGTGAAAACGCCCGTCCACAGAATTCACACGGAAAGCGCCTCTCAGGGTTAATAGCAGCCCCATGGTCAGAAAATCTCATCAGCTCTGCAAAGAGAAAGCATAGGTGTTAACTGTGTGCTATGTGAGTCAGCAGAAGAAGCAAGTCCACACTCACTGGTAGGGCCTCTCCTCCCTCACCTGCAAAGCCACTCAGAGAAAGCACTTTCCAGACTCGTAACTCTTAGGGTTTCCCGAGATGCATTCCTCTAATAGCTCCCTAGAACTGTTCTGGTTCCAGGCTCCATGCTTCTCCCTTACTCCTCATTTTCCTAGCTGGTGTTGTCACAAGTAATCAGGCTCTTTCTGGCCAGAAGAGCCTCATCTGCCCATTCTTAAGGCATCTGAGCTTTCCTATTTTCCCATTTTAATCTCTCCTTTTGGTATGGTCTCTATCAGTGCCTCATGGTTTGGCACCTATTCATTTTCTATTTGGCACAGGTTTATCTTTGCTCAGTAAAAAGAATACAGGCTACACAAAAGCCCTTAACCCAGTTAGTCATTGTAGACATCAGGGCTTCTGCTTCTTCCAAGTGAGGCTGGAGCCTCAAGACTGTGGTCATCTGTTATGGATACCATCATCAACACCTTCCAGAGTGGTTAAGAGCCCTGAGTGAGATCTATAAGCAAAGAATTTTGTGTGAACATGAATCTGGACAACTGGTATGCAAAAACATGTGCCTGGCCAATGAAGGATCCTGGCCAACTGCCTGACACCTACCCTTCAATCAGTGGTATGCACGAATGTGGGGGTATACCGGCATTTCTGGACCGGTCTGTTCTAAGCATCCAATATTGACCTGGTTGCTTTGTTTCTTCTATGGTGCTAGGCAATGTTAGGGGTTTGCTAAGTGTGGATTGGCCAGGCTAATTCTTTTCCGGCCACACCTCCTGGCAAACTCAAAGATGAGAGCTTATATGGCCTTTGTGTTCTCCTAAGTCCCAAGCCCATATGTTTTTCATTAGACCACAGAGGGCCAAGTCTTCTTGTGGTAATAACAGCAGAACTAGAAGACGGTCCTTCAGCCACACTGTCAAGAGAGGGTAGAACTTAGGGAAATGCTGACCATCTTTATATATCTGACTGCTCTAGGCCCACACATATAAGATGTGACAGGAAGAGATCTCCTGGTTGAAATATCCCATCTCATAAAATCCTCAGGATGACATTAGCAGGATAGGGGCTCTGTGATGCCTTAATCTTCAGCATAAAAAGCTGTGTGAATGGGGCCAGTTTTCACAAAAGATGAAACATTTTCTCACAAATTAAGAAGATCACCATACAAGCCATTAAAAATAATTGCACAGACTATCTTCCTTGATTCTTTTCATTGGAAATGAGACAGCACCATCTGCTCTTCGCATTAATTCCTTAGCAGGGATTATCTTGGGCAAGAAATCAACAGAATGCCTTCCTGACTCCTCCCCAGCGGCATAATGAGAGGGGGTGGGGTGGGCAGGATTCTGCTAGGGTGCATTTTGATTTATTCATGCCTGGTTTCTCCTCTTTCAAAATCCCTCCAAGCTTCACAGGCAGGCCCTGCCCTGTGTCCATGTTAAGTCCTCCTCCAGTCCTGTTTGGTAAGGAGGCTGAGAACCCAGTAGCTGTAAGGCTCTAAATTCCCTAAATTGAGGGTGTCTGATGAAAGTCCAAATTGTCAACAAGGGGAATGTTCCTGGTACACTGACTCCTCTAGCCTTGGGAAATATGAAACCAGTCATCTATTTTTTCCAAAGGCACATGCTAAGTTTCATCCTCAAAGGAGGAGGCCACTCATTACCTGTCACACTTCAAATGGCTCTTCATCAGCCTGAGAGCTGTGCTACTTCCAGAAGCCCGAGTGTCTGGCAAAAACACCCCGAGGCTATTGTCTGCTGCTTCTTCTTGGCAAGAATTTACTGAAATGGTGGAAAATAGATTCTAGGTCTATTCAAAGGAGGAGGGACAAAGGAGGCTGTTCTTGCAAAGTGGGTAAGGGGGAAGGGAAGGTTAGGCTTGTTCATTCCCACTGACATGTCTGGGAGTCACTGGGGAAATCCCCTGACCTCTGGGAGGAATACACACTCCTCCCTCCATTGCGTTTTCTCCACGGGAATAAGGCTCTTGCATGTGTGTGCTGCACTTTCCAGTGACAACAGAGACCATGCGGTTCTTTCCAATTAAGCCCATCTAGCTTGATGTGGTGGAGCCAAATGAGAAGGAGGAGGCCAAGCCGGACAAGCAGGGAAAATGTGCTCTACATCCCACACATATCTCAACTGCCATCTTTTCTAATTTCCCATATTTGTTTTAGTCACAGGAAGGAAGAATAAAATAGATTTCTGCCTTATAATGTTCCTAATCTCTAAAATAATATGCACTCGGTTTCAGACATTTAAGAGTCATAATATCCAAGGAGGAATAATTTATTTCCTGAAGAGCAACAGCAGGGCCACAGAGAACCAGGAAGAAAAAGAAGCTTTTGTATCCTCTGTCAGAAGCATCCTCTCCCGGAGTACTCTTGTAATAGTGCACAGATGTTAAGAATTCATTGTGAAGAACAAATTTGTGAAATGGTTTAAAAAGAACAAAGAAAAAGCCATGTTCCTGCGATCACAACCATTTTCCTTCTAAGAAATGGGTGACTACAGCCCTGAATCATAAATGTGCTACTTTACAAGAACAATCCATCTATATGATAAGGATATTTTATTTCCTTGTGCATTTTTCAAGTTACCATAGGCTTGGGGTTTTTGACAAGCTCACACACACTGGCTGTCAGTCTCTGATGTCTGTCTTGCTCAGAAGCACTACTGCCAAACTGGATCCCCAACTTACAAAACCACAGTCCTCTGCCCTGGCTGTCAACAGGAGGGTTGGGTGCTGATTAGGAAATGGTCTAGGGAAATCCACAGAAGGAAATGGTTCACCAAATAGGCCCACTTGAGCTCACAGCCTGAGCAAGGAGGAGAAATAATAAAGAAATTCTGCATTTAAAAGTGCACCCTTAGGGCCGGGGATTTAGCTCAGTGGTTCTGCCGCCTGCCTCGCAAACACAAGGTCCGGAGTTCGATCTCCGGTACCAAAAACAAAAAGAGCACCTTTAAGCGAGGTCCCAAAGGCCACTGAAACCACAATTTCAGGGCCAAGTCCCCTTCAATAAAGCACATATCACTGCCCCAGGGGTTGGGAAAGTGGTACGTAGTATAGGAGGTCTTGCTGAGAGTGGGGGCACACGCCTGCAATCTCAGCCCTCTGGGAGGCTGAGGCAGGAGGATTACAAATTTAAGCCTAGTCTGGGGAATTTACCAATTTAGTGAGGTCCTATCTCAAAGGAAAAAAAAAAGAAAAGAAAAAAAAGACTGTAGCTCAGTGCAAAGGCCCTGGGTTCAATCCCAGTACTGGAAAGGAAAAGAAGGAAGTTTTACTTTTGGAGCCACAGGCTCCACTACAACCTCTACTGTTTTTTTGTTTGTATGTTTTACTTTGAACAAGCTCTTAAATTTTCTGTAGCTTTATTTTCTCATTTGTAAAATGATAATAATGATACATTGCAGAGTTAACATTTATTATGTGGCTAATATGCTCCAGGAACTAGGCTAAGTTATTGAATGTATGTGTGTGTGTGTGTGTGTGTGTGTGTGTGTGTATATTTACTTATTTGCAGTTCCAGAGAAAGAACTCAGGACCTCATACACACTAGGCAAGTACTGTACTATGCCACTAACCTATATCCCTAGAGCCCTCACTTAATTTCTATTATGGAACCACAAAAGACCCCAAATAGCCAAAAAAATCTTGAACTAACTAAAGTTGGAAGTATCTCATTGCTCTTTATTTGTTTTGTTTTTTGAGATAAGGTCTTGCTATATAGTTCAGGCTAGGCTTGAACTCCTTATGTAGTCCAAGCTGGCCTTGAACTCACAACAATCCTCCTGCCTCAGCCCCCCGGAGTGCTAGGATTGCACCACAGGCATCCACCACCACTACTACAAAGTTAAGATAATCAAAACAACATGGCACTGGCATTAAGAGGCACATAGACCAATGCAACAGAATAGAGTCCAGAAATAAGTCCACATATTTATAGCCAATTAGTTTCTGAGAAAGCTGCCAAGAACACAATGGGGAAATGACAGTCCCTTCAATAAATGTTGAACTGGATAACATGCATGCAGAAGAATGAAACTAGAGACTTATCTCACATCGAATTAAAAAAAAAGGTCAACTAAAAATGGATAAAAGATTTACAAACATAATGCCTGACATTGTAAACCTACTAGAGGAAATCAGGGGGATAGCTCTATGACAGTGGTCTGGGGAGTGATCTTTGGGATATAACCCAATAGCATAAATAACTAAAAACAAAAGAAAATAACAGAACAAAGAGAATCTACACAACAGGAGAAAATATTTATAAGCCATACACCTGATAACTGGTTGAAATCTAAAATATATAAGGAAGTCAACTCCACAGTAAGTAAGCAACTCAGTAAAAAAAGACAAGGGATCTGAATAGACATTTCTCAAAAGAAGATATAAAAACAGTCAACAGATATCTACAGATGTTCAACATAGGTAATATGAAGATGAAAATTAAAACCACAATGAGATATTACTTCACGAATGGGTATTATAAAAAAGGTCAAGTATTGGTGAGACTATGGGAAAAAAAAGGGATATGTGCACACATTGGAACTGCTACGTGATCCAGCAATCTCACTCCTGAGTTTATGTGCAAAGAAAATGATATGAGCACGTGCTAGAGGCATCTGCATACCAATGACCACTGCCCCAGTATTCATAATAGCTGAAATTCAGAATCATCCCGAGCTTTCCTCAATGGATGAATAAAGAAAATGTGATATACATACAGGCTGGAATATTACTGAGCATTATTTAGCTTGGTGAGCAAATCCCATCACTTGTGACAATTTGCAGAAGTCTAAAGAATATCATGTAAAAAGAAACAAGCCAGGCACAAAAAGACAACTACTGAATGATCTCACTCATATGTGTAATTTCAAAAGGTCAGACTCAGAAGCAGATAATATAATGGTGGTTACCAAGGGTAGGGATGGGGAACTGGGGGGGATATGGGTCAAAAATATGAATTTTTAGTTAGATAGGAAACATAAGTTCAAGAGATCTATTGTACAGCATGGTGCCTATAATTAGTGACAACATATTGTATACTTGAAATTTGCTAAGAATATACTTTAAGCGTTCTTGCCACAAAAAAGTATGTGAGTTAATACACAAATAGTTAAATTTAGTCATTCCACAATGTATATGTATTTCAAAATATCATGTTGCACACTAACTATATACAATTTATAATAAAAATAAAGTGTTGAATACAATACCAAAGCCCCATATATAAAGTTTTATATATATATATATACATATATATTTATATATTTAAACTACAATCTTAGGGGGTAGTTCATATTATTATAATTTTATGGATGATAAATGCACAAGAAGATAAATTATCCAAAGTCCTACAGATAGAATATAGCAGCAGTGAGAGCCAAATTCACACAGACTATTATGTGAGATGAAAGAAAAAATGTTATATATAAAAGCTACCAACACTGAACCTGGCAAGTAATGATGCTCAGTAACAACAACTAATACTATTCTCCTCATCACTGGGATGATCCATAATGTTTATTTCTCATATTCTACATATGCTTTTGATAAATCTGCAATAACTAAAGTAATATATTCCAAACTACACCCTTGTGCGTATAGTCTGGAAATTTCCACAATATTCCACATTGAACAATACAGAAAAACAAAACTTTCAATGCCTACAACTAAATATACTTTTGAAACCTTTCTATTTTGAAGTAATTATAGATTTGCAAAAAGTCAGAAAAGTAGTTCAAAAGTTCCATGGAACCTTCCTGAGTGTATTCTGTAAATACATGATGGAATGAAAAGAGTGATCTCTCTTTTTTCCTACAAAGGGAAACACAGTTCAAACTGAGGGGTTAAGAGAAGGGCCTTGCAGAAGGGCACATGGAGAGGGCTCAAGCTCTTTGCAGACCCCCACTATAGTCCCAGAAATAGTCATTTTAAATGAGCATTCAATTCCAAGTTCATTCTCATTCCTCAATAGCCTTTCAGTGTCATTTATCTGCAGTCTGCCTGTCCTCATTCTGAAGAGTCCCTAGATACTAGTTTTCCTTGTTAAAAACACATCACTGCCATATATTTTAAAAACACACATATATCTCTAATTAGGGAGAAAATATCTGTTTTCCTTGGAGTTTCTAGAGCTGGTAATAGTTTACAAAGAGATGGCCCCTGATGTTTCTTAAGGCAGTCTGTTCTGCTACTTAACTAAGAAGGATTATTCCTTCTGTTACTCCCACAGCAGCCTCCTGCCTCCCTTCTGTCTCACCACGACATGGTGAATGCCATCTGGGACTCAGAGAGCAGGAGGAGACTAACCTCTGTCTTCAGCCTTGCTGTTCATTTCTTCTTCCTTATCCTCATCATCACTGCTGGAGCTCTCCATTTTTTCCTTCATCTGTTCCAGCTGGTCCAGGTTAACCCGTCCAACCAGCTCAAAGTTACGGCTTACCTGAAAAAGATTCAAACAAAAGATGTAATAATGAGGTACACTGAATGAGGTTCTCCCTGTGGAGACCGTTCCAACATCATTTTCCTGTGACTGTTTTTGGAACGAAGACTGAACAACTCAGGTGTTTAAGAGGTCATTTTCTTCATGTCGACTCTCAGAGATGGGTGTGTCCTGTGTTCCCAAATCCACCACTTCCCTGGAACTTCAACACGGGACCTTCCTTACCAGACTTGGTAAGAAATATGAGTACAAGAAACAGGAGGCCAAACGTACTGTGAAGCCTAGGGTATTCAATAAATATCTTTCGAGTTGAATTCAAAAGTGTGACTTTCATAAACTACCCAAACTTCACAAAATGGGAGTAAAGAAACTCTGCAAGTGTCCTGGCCTCGAGCAGTGAGAACCACAACCTTCTTTGCCATGAACCTTCTCTGTCAAGGGTTGTGGGCTGTTCCAGTTTAGGCCCCTGACAATGATTTGATTCTTACTCTAGTTTAGGTGGAAGACAATACTATTGCTGTTAATTTTCATACTATATTTGGAGCTTTCCAAAGAGTATTTATCATGGCTGGGATGACCTGAGAAAAACACAAGTGACTACCTCCTTTAAAAGCCCTTTAAAAGCATGAACTATGGTTAGTTCTTATTTATATAAAATGTGGTTAGAATAATGAGAGATTTTAACCTTTTTTCAAAATATCATTCAAGGCCAAAAAAAAAACTATACTAAGAAAAGTTTAATAATATCCCATTTTGAGTTATCAGATCAGCAATAGCACAAAATTCACCTTCTGTTAGCCTGTTTTCAGAATCTCTCCAGTTGCATGCATAAAATTATCAGGAATGACATGCCAGGACCGAAGTCATAAACAAGCACAGGCTACTCCTCTGTGTAAACCACTACGCCTCCCTTCTTAAGGGGCAGGGGAGGTGTGTAACAAGGATAAATGAGACTTGGTTCTGGCCTCCAGAGGCTCACAGGTCAGCTAAGAGGGAAGGCAGACTCATGAATTAGATTCCAAGGCAGATTTACATGGCTGCCACGGTAGAGGCAGAGTGTAATGGGCACGGGAGAGGAAAGAGAGAATTTACAAGACAATTCCAAAATATTCTCTGGGACCAGACTGGAACAAAGATTTGCTGAGCACCACCAATTCCATATGCCTGGCAGATGGGAACACCATCATTGGCTGTGACAAATGTGAAAGAGACTCAGAGTATCAGGGCTAGCAGACATCCCGTGAAAAGGTTTAATATTGTCCCAACATCATATAGGAAATAGGTACATTGCAGAGGAGGGAAAGAACTCAGGAAAATATGCTCTTTTAAAATAGGAGAAACAACACATTGCTCTGTCTAAAATGGAATCCATAAAATCAGTTAACTTTGAAAACAAGTCACAACAGGATGTCTTTATCGCTTATTTTAAAGTTTTAAAAAATTAATAAAGTGAGGAGGAGGAAGAACTCAAGTTTAAAATCTTTACTTTTGCCTTTTCTTCTCTAAGTCCACAGAAACAGCCTCCAAAGTCTTGCTAAAGAGGGTTTTATCTACTACTCCTCACCCATAAGAGCTGTATGAGTTTTTACTTTTTTTAAAGCAAAAAAGCAAAAAGAATTAGCACAAGAAGCATAAACTTTGAAATCAGACAGAACAGAATTCAAGTTCAGGGTTTGCTGTAACCTTGACTATATGTCTTCCATGTTAACACTGTGCCTGAAACATAACAGTCCCCTCCCCCAATATAATTTCCTTCCCCTTTCTGGGAATGCGGGTCTTTTCCAATCTTGGCATTTGGAAATGCTTATAACAAACATTATAAATACATATTTAGGAAGTCTTGTTTGGCCACAATGTCTACGTTTTAACCAAATGGCATTTATGACACATATTTCAATAAAAATATTCTGCCTTGCTCGTTTTTGAGGAGAAATGAGCAAGGTCCCTTCCAATTTGCCTCATTTTAAAATGTTTGAAGAGAAACTATTTTAAGTGACCAATACGTAGAAGGAGCCTTTTCTGGACCACTTGTTCACTTATTGAAGTAACCAGGGAGACTGTAAATATGTATAAAAGACATGGGGTGCGGGGTAGTTTCCAGGAAACAGAAACAATGAAACCAAGAAAGCCAAGAAACAATCCTTGAGCACCTTTAATACACATATTCATTCATTCATTCATTCTTTCCTTTCTTTCATTCATTCAGCATGATCTCCCCGAGGTTCGTTCTGCGCCAGGCCCTGGTCCTTATTGGAGCTCCTGCTTCTTATGGAGCTTACAGTGACAGAAGGAGATCTGTCACCAAACCAAATGTTATTTTTTTCCATCCTTCTGGGATTTTTTGAGCACTGTACTTGTCCATTTTCCCATAGCCATCATCCCTTAACTAGAAAACTGTTAACATTTTGAATTCTACACTATTTTAAAATAGTGTCTGACATTTTCATGGTAGGATGTTCATCCTGGGCTAACCCACAGTTTATTTATCCTGAAGATTTCTACAATTTTTGCAAGGCAATTAAAAGATTTAAAAGTAAAAACTAAAAATTTTGCTATGTAATTAGCAGATTTTAAAAATAAAAAGCCTTTGTAGTGTTGGATTATTACTCTATTAAAATCCCCAAACCAGTCATCCAAATCTTAATCTGAACACAAAAGGAAGACTCTTTTCTTTTTTCACATTTCCGAGCCCATCATCATTTTTACCTGGATTATTGGAACTGCCACCTCCTTGTTGGCTTCCTGGGATCTAGTCTCATCTCTCTAGTATCTATTCTCCTGTGTGGTCGAAACTTTTTTTTTTTGCCTTTAAAAAATTTAAATCCCTTCGTGTCAGTCTCTGCTTACCCTGAGGATAAAAATCTAAAGTTTTTACTGTGGTTTACATAGCTGGCTAGTATCTCATTTTGGCCCAGCTTTTCCAGCTCCCACCCCCATCCTGATCTTACTGAGGTTCCTGGAAGAAGCTGCACTATTGGGGTTTGCTTCTGCATCTGCCGATTCTTCCTTTTGAAACTCTCATGCTCCTTGATGCCTTGGCTCAATCTTCCTGCCTGGCCTCTGTCCCTTCATCTGGGACACCTCCCACACTCTCCTCCTGGGTTCATATCATTTCTCTGGTTCCACAGTGTCCACACTCCCCCTTGGAGAACACCTCATTAGAAATTGTGTATGTCTTGCCTCTTCCCCACTGAGCAGCAGATTCCATGGGGACAGATCTTCTGTACATTTTACAGCTAAATCTCCACTGGGTCGCACTGGCTAGATTAAAATGGGTGCTGTTAGTGCCTTGTAGTTACTACTGAACATCTTCATTTTATTTTTATATATATTTTACATTTTTTTCATTAACATATTTTTCTCATATAAAGAGTCACACAGAGGGCCGAGGATTTAGCTCAGTGGTTTTGCTGCCTGCTGCGCAAGCTCAAGGACCCGAGTTCGATCCCCGGTACCAAAAAAAAAAGAGTCACACAGAAAATGTGGAAAAGGACCGCCCAACTACCTATTCAGAACCATTAACAAATCACTGCATTCCTGTCCTTCAACTACAGATTATTGTCATTTCAATATCATATTAAAATATACAAGTGTGTCTCTTGATTTGTTATTCCTTGTGCAGGATATACATCATTCTCCAAATAAGTATAACTTTTAATCACTACAGCATATTTCATCAAGTGGATATCTTATAGTTTCCTTGACTGTTCCCCTATGCATATACCTTGGGTTACTTCTGGATTTTTCACTACAAAAATGTAGTAACATGCCAGCCGTTGTTGGGCACCCTGGAAGGCTGAGGGAGGAGACTCCCAAGTTCAAGCACAGCCTGGGTAACACTTGTTTCAAAATTTAAAAATTAGCCAGGCATGGTAATAAGCCTGTAATCCCAGCACTTGGGAAGCTGAGGCAGGAGAATCACTGGAGTTTGAGGTCAGCCTGGGCTACATAGTGAGTTCAAGGTCAGCCTGATCTACATAATGAGACCCTGCCTTAACAACAACAACAACAACAAATCCCAAAATCACATAAACTAAAAATCAGCTGAGGATATTGCCCCAGTGCAAACCCCTTGTGTTCAATTCTTAGTATAGGAAAAAAGATACAGTAAAAACCATTTTGTATGTTAACCTTTCTTTCATGTTAAGTTTTAATTTTATAAGCAAAATTTCAGATGTGAAGTGAAAGGGTCAAAGTCAAATATATTATTAAGATTCCAACATATGCTTCAGTTGGCTTCTGAAACAATCACAGTGCTCCCTGAACCTGCCAAATTGAAGAATATTCACTTTTTTTGCTGGAGAAGAGAGTAATTTATTACCTTGAAGTTCCCCAAAGAAAGGAGAAAGAGCAAGTCAAAGAGTTTGAGATCTAAAACCCCCTTTGCAGTGTTTTGTAGCTAAAAGAAGGCATAGATGTTCCTGAAGTGTGTATTATCTAAATATGTAATCATTCAGACTATATAACTGTATGCTGATCCTTATAACTTGTGAGGATCACCTTTGAATGTCCACTAACCCAGGGTTCCCCGCAAGCTGCTGACCCAGGTCTGGTGATAAAGTCAGCGGTGCAATAAGAATGCGAGGTGAAGTGAACCTTGACCGGCAGATGCTGAACCCCTGAACAGGAAGATGATGACACTGTGAAAGCCCCTCCATGCTCAATTAATGTGCAACCTTCACAATATTATTTTTCTATTTGTTGGCTTTTAACCATTCAGCAAAATGAGTTAGATCTTTTCCTAGCACATATTCCCACACGTTCGTCTTGTTCTAATACGATGTAAAATAAAAACTACTGGGTTGATCATACATTTTCATGCTGTGCTAGGGTGTCAAACCCAGGGTTCTAAGAGGGACTGATATAAACATGTTTGTTAATGTCAGAGAAGCAGACACTCATGTCTTCAGATTACACTGCAGGCATCTAGTGGGGCAGATTAGGATGGAGAAAGTCCACTGGACCTTCGTAGAGTTTCAGACCTGAAACTCCACCTATTC